GGTATAAGGTGTTTTGATTGAAGAATCTAGAGCAAAGAGCCGTAAAATTGGGCCATTCAAAGCACTTATGTTCGGGATGTGCAAGTAACACAAAATAAATCATCAAATATTTTGTAAATAGAGAGTGATGGTATTTTGCTGTGAGCCCATACTATGATCATGTCTTAAGAATGCATTGTATACGTGTTTCTCCAAGAGAGATAAGATATCATCTCTTGTGTCCCTTGGCTCTAAACCTCTTTCTTTCCTAAATATGTCTTGTTTATGAGCATGAATTGCATCTCATTGCCTATCTCTCAGAGTTGATTGTCTATGTACACTGCATATGGTTTTAAATTTTTCTTCTTTTTCATTCCCTTTCCTTCATGTGTTGAAGACTTGGTCTAGGTTATTGTGCTAATGCAACTTTGATCACTTGATATATGTGCTAGTTCATGCTTGTGTTTTTAGAAACCAAAACCATGTCTTTCACAGGGTCGATATTATTTGATGTTTGTCATAATGCTATTTTAGTTGACTAGTCATCTATGCTTATGGTTGACTAGTCATCTGGGTGTTTTGCATTTGATGCTCGTTTTGATTTGCATTAGTTGACTAGTCATCATATTTGTGGATGACTAGTCATCCGGATCTGCCTGTGCCAATTTTGCTTGAGTTGACTAGTCATCTTTCTTGTGGTTGACTAGTCATCCGCTTTGTTTCCTGACCGATGCGTCTTTTTCATTTTTCGTTTTGGCGGTTATTTTTTTTCTTTTTTTGTTTTGAGCGGTGCCTTTTATTTTAGGGTCGTGTCGTTTGCGTTTTTTTCTTTTTAGGTTAGTTTCCCTCTCCTTCGTCAGTATCTTCTGTCTCTTCCTCTCTCTGTTCTCGTCAGTCTCGATTCCAGTCCTTCTCTTCCATTCCGTTTGTTCCTTTCAGTTGTTAGTCTCTTCGCCCCTTCTTCCATTTTGTTTTCTCTTCGAAATTCATTCCCGCTGCTAGCCATGTCTTCCTCAAAGCCTCTCCTCACTTACCACCGTCATTCCAAATCCAAATCCACTGAAAGAGTGGATTTCATTCCCTCAATTCCTAGGGCTCCTAGAACCCGTCCCTCTTCCTCTGTTCATGTTGGAGATTCCTCTCCATTTGTGTCTTCTGAGGCTGCCTCCTTCTTTGATGAAGTTGTCTCCAAAAGGAAATTTGTTCTTGAGAGGTCTTACCAGTTTGATGCTGTTCCTTTGGCGGCTCAGGAGTTTGCAAATCAAATTTTGGAGCACTACCACCTTCATGCCCTAAACTCTCTCTCTGGTAAGTTTAATGCCTCTGTAATTCAGGAGTTTTACTCTAACTTTCTTGCTGATCCTAAGGAGTCAAAGTTTCAGATAATTGTTAGGTCCGTCCCCATTACTCTGAGACCATCTGTTATCAATCGGGTCTTAGGTTTTCGATCGTGCCCTGGTTTTGATTATGCGAAATTTGCTCTTGCTTCTGCTGATTATTCTATTGATCTTTTTAAATCTATGGCATACACTGATCAATCCATGCCTTTGACTTCTAAAGGTCTGCCTATCAAGTCTTACCTCTCACCTTTTTATAAATTTTTGTGGGACTTTATCCGTCATAATGTTCTCCCCACTAGGAACAATTCTAATCCCACTCTTGCTGCCTGTCAACTCATGATTTCCGTGGTGAATCATGATAAAATTCCCCTTGGTGATATTCTTTATCATGCCATTCTTGGCAAAACCATAGGACATGGTACCAAGCACAAGGGGACTCTTGTTTTCCCTTGTCTGATCCAGCGTCTCTATGAGAGAAATGGGGTGGTATTTCATGAGTCTGATCAGTGGCATCCTCCCACTGCTCCGTATGGCAAGGCCTCTGCTGCCCTTAGCCAGAAGATTTCCAGAACCTTTCTCACTCTGTGTCATCTTTCTCTGAGAGTGCCTCTCTTAGATCTCAGCTGGCTGCCAAGGAGGAGTATATTCAGCATCTTTTGAGCCTCATTCCGTCCTCTTCGACTCCTGCCACCGCTGCTGCTACTGATGTACATCCTCCGACGTCTCCTGTAGCTGAGAACTCTGATGACTCTGTGGATTCTGGTGGTTCTTTGGTTTTTTAGCTATGATATTGTTCTTGGCTGTGTTCTAGATAGGAAGTGTAATTCTGGACAGGTTGTGCATTTTGATAGGGGGAGTTATTTTGTAATCACATTGTGAGTAGTCTGTGCATTTCATTAGGGGAGTTTTTTTTTTGTAATCACATTGTGGTTAGTCTGTGCATTTTGATAGGGGGAGTTGTTCTGTCCTGTTTTGAACAACTGGTATTTGACTAGTCATAATTCTATGTTCTGAACTGTTTTAAACAACTATTATATGACTACTCATCAATCTAATTTATGTGATGTTAACCTTGTTCATATCTGCCTATCCGTTTGTGGTTACACCCTTTTGTATGCTGTTTCTAACTCTCTACCTTTTTGCACTTTCCTTATCAACAAGGGGGAGAACACTCTCAACCCCACATTGCATATTGTTTTAAAATTTCTGTGATAATATGCTTGTTTTTGTGCCTAGGAGTTTGGTTGTTCTTGCAGGAACTTTCACTCCATCATCTCCTTAGTTTCAGTTTTGGGTTGAGTGTTCTTAGAGAGTGTGTTGTCAAGGAAAGCCAAAAAGGGGGAGATTGTTAATGTATGGTTTTTACTATTTTCTTTTGGCTTCCCTTGACAACTTTCTAATAGGATGTGTTTTGTTATTTATCAAGCTCAAGTTTAGATTAAGGAAAACTTTTCTTGGTGCTCTTCTCTAACTTCTGCTCTATGGAGGTTCAAGCAAGTTGACAAAGGTATAGTGCATTGCATATCATTTCATAAAACAATCTTCATAAAAATGATGACTAGTCATCCGTTTCTCAGATGACTAGTCATCCTTGCTCTGTTGGATTTCCAGCTAGATAACAAACTGTTTTGTCCTATTCCTCTTTCTCTCTCTCTGCTGCCATCTGTTTTTTCTGACCTAACGAATTTTTTGGTTGTAAAGGCTTTGTTTTTGGTCATTTGGTGTTGTCTCTTTCGCGTGGAAGTTTTGGAAAGATTGCTTTGCTTTCTTTCTCTTCTTCCTCAAGAGAGAACCATATACGTTTCATCTATGAGTTTTTCCAATTGATTTCTTTTTGAAAAACTGCTTTTGAAAACCCGAATCTGCATCTAGCTATTCAAATCATCTCTCATTTATATCTAGGTCAGATTCAAGACTGATTTCTTCAAGAGTATGGTTTCTTGAAGAAATTGGTCATTCTCCTTTGAATCCAAATATTG